CATCCCTGCCGAAAGCTTTTTAAATCATAAAAAATAAATGGAAAGCTAATAGGATTGTTTCAGTCCCTTTAGATTTGAGAGTAACTAAGCATTACTGGTCAAGTGCAACTTTGTCTGTTAGCCAGCAGATCATGCTTTTGTATTCATGTTGTAAAAGGGTGTTTTTATTCAAAGGGGAGAGTGAACAGCGGTGGTGTTCCTGTGTGAAAACACGGGGTTAATCTCGAGTTGTTGTGAGAGCTCCTTATTGAAGCCTTGGCAGCACATTAGTGTTTGTTCTGGAGATTAAGCAAGAGATCCTGAGTTAAAAAAATGCTGAGACCAGTGAAAACAGCATTATTTTAGGGCCTAGAAGTTCTCCTTAGACCAGGACTCCCAAGTGCCAGGTGCTCTACAAATGTAGACCAAGACGACAAAACCCGGTGTCAGTTTAAGCGTTTATCTGCACGACTGCAGCAAAATAAAAGCTGGCATCTTTGGTTTTGAAGCGTAGCGGCCGCTTTGCAGGGAGTCGCTACAGGAACACTTCTTCCGTGACAGCCCAGTAAGGTTGTGGTTTTGATGAGACAAATCTCTTGATGACACACATTATCACTCCTCCTTTTCCTGGCTGGACTCTTCCCCTCACTTCCCTTTGTCGGACGTGGCGCTTCTGCAGCCAGAGAGTGAGGCAGTTCAACTCTATCGTCCAACGCATAAAGGCACCCAAAAAGTTTTCAGGCTGGATCACCAAGCTGAAACAAGTTGTTCTAGAGCCATGCAACCAGCAGGACATGGGCAAAGGAGCAGGAACATCTAACTGGGGCAGGCAGGGCTGTCTTTTGGCTAGCGGGAAAAAAAAATAATCTAAAAGATACAAAGCAAACTACAGCAGCCTTCCAATAGTGCCACAGAAAATGTCAACCCATGGCCAAACCTCTTCCAGTTCCTACTTTGGTACCACGATAATAAAAAAAATATTTTCTCTATCCTTTGACATTTAACGACTAATTTTAAACAAAATAAAGCAAGAAAAAGTGTACAGAGTCATGACCAGAAAACCTCACCTGCCTTTTACAGTACTTACCAGGAAAACTTGGCCTAAAATTTACAGAAGCAAAGAGTATAATTACCAGGGGGAGTAAGAGCCGCCCAGAACTGTGTTTCTGGAGCTCTCAGAAGAGTAACCTCAGGTTGTGCTGGTGCCTCACATGAACTCCAGAACTTGGAGGCTGGTGCGGTCCTGAGTCAATGTAACAAGGAAAAAATGTGCAACATAGCAAAAGGGTTCTGAGATGTAGCTCTGCTGTAGTAGTATTGGTTGAACGGCTGGCTGTTCGTTATAGACTGTAAAGAGAACAAAATTTCCATTGTGTTATTCTTGACCTTGTTTTTCAGCCTTGAGGTTGGTAGGTCCTTACTGTCTCTAGTTTTGGCATCCAAGTTTTCTTCTCTGCCTTTTCTGTTCTCCTGGAATTTTTATTTTCCTTTGTTTTCCATCATCTGCTTCCTCTCCATTCTTTTTAATTTTTTAAAGAAATAACCAACAGCTGAGTTTGAGAAAGAACGAGGATTTTAAAAATTTCAGACAAGTGAACTCTTCTCAGTCTCGGGATCAGATTTGCAGCCGTTCAAGTCTTTCTACTGTCTGCGCTGTTGTAATATTTCAGCAGAATATCTTCTTTTTTTTTTTTATTTCAGAAGCTTCTCACTTTGATTCCACCATGGA